CCCCATACTCTTTCTGCTCCTTTCTACATTCTGCCCTATCCTTGTGTGTGTTCCTGACCCTCTGTTCTGCCAGCCTGGGAGATGGTGAATGGAGGAGTTAATGAAAGAGCCAGCTTTGTATCCCCCACTCTGCATGACTTCCTAGCCTCACTTCTGCCATCTCGTGAAGATTGGTTCAGCCTATGTGACAGTTCCCTAAGCACGTCATCTGTGCCCCATACAGCGCCAGGTGGTGACATGTGTGTTATCTCTTTTCATCTTCACAGGGACTTCGTGATCCCTGTCTGTCACATCATCCCACTTTTACAAATAAGGAAACCAAGGTTTAAAGAAACTGTCTCTTCATTTGTTCATTCAACAAACATATTTAATGAGCACCTACCATGTGACAGGCTTTGTACCAGGGCTGAAGATGTTGCAATTGGGTACTGAGAGGCAGACTACGAGACACCTGAATTCTGAATTGGGTACTGAGAGGCAGACTACGAGACACCTGAATAGAAGAATGATTGGGGAGCGCTCTCAGAAGGGCAGGGAAGGTAGCAGGCAGCTGAATGGAAGCCTCAGCCCGTGCTGTAGGGGTTCACTGCTTCCCAGGTTGAAACTAAGAAGCCCCGTTTCTATGTCTTGCACTGATCAGACTCTGGGGGAGGCCATGCCCTAATGGGCGGGACAAGACACCTTGTTCTCTTCCCTTATTCTGGCCATAGCTGAAGGGTGCTCTTAGCTCTGGGGTGCCTGCTGGCACTACTCCCAGTAGAAGGGGATTTTGAGGCTCCATCATCAGAGAGAATGTCTCTTTCCTTCATGTGCTTGAATTCCAGCAGGGAAACAAATGGTAAGGGATGAAGCCAGCAGACAGGAAAGACCATGACAATGCTCCTTACAGGAACAGGCACTCAGTTCCCAGCTAGATAGAGAAGCTAAGCTGCATGGGCAAAGGACCCAGAGCCTTGCCTCCAATCTGGGTCACTGTGGCTCCAACATTTACCTCTCCTGCTGACCAGCCCCTGCCAGATCACACATCTTTCTAAGCCTGTGATAGTGTTGCCAAGCCACAGACCAGGGGCAAGCACACCCTCATCATCACAAATACAACTGTGTGCAGTTGTGTGAGTGAACGGTGGGTTTTGAGGAAAATCACACCCATCCACATGCAGATGTGGCTGCTGCCTTTGCAAGTTATACAACAATCCTGTCTCTAAATCTTTCACATCAAAGTTAAAAATAAAATAAATGATTCCATCTTTAATAAAGTATACTAACAAAATTGTACAAAAATAATGTATACAATATGATATCATACCTGTTTATATTGCAAAATTATTTACACCTTGAAGCTGGTTAACATATTTATTATCTTACATGGTCTATTTGGAATCTATGCTTTCAGCAGATTTAAAGTATACAATGCAGTATTATTAACTATAGTCACCATATTATATATTAGATCCAGAGAACTTACTCATCCTATATAACTGAAAGTCTTTTCCTTGTGATGAACATCTTCCTTTTTCCCCTACTCTGATCTTGCACTTAACAGCTACTATTGTATTTTGATTTTTAAGTACAACTTTCTTAGATTACACATATAAAGGAGATCAGGTATTATTTCTTCCTTCTTTTAACATAATGTTTGTCCATGTTGTCACAGAGTAGGTTTTCTTTCTTTTAACAGATCAAACCATATTCCATTGTATATGTTCTTAATCTGTTCATTGGCTGATTGACACTTATTCTGGTTCCATATTCCATGTCTTTGCTGCTGTAAATAATGGTTCAATAGACATGGGAGTGCAGATCTCAAAAAAAAAATTAGCTCTCTTGCTATGTACATGGAAGTGGAAATCACATGACTTCCACGATAAACATGGGCTATGGAAATCACACAAAGCATCGATGTCAAACTAAGGAGCTGGGACTTGATCCTGTAGACAGTGGAGAGAACTCAGAGGTACACAAGGAAATGTAGGAAACTCTGTGGGTCAGGGCATACTGAATGGTGCTTAGTGCAAAGGGACAAGCACGTGGGACCTTGGTAAGAGACAGCTTCAGAGAGAGACTTGGGTCTACAGTGAAAACATGCTTGAGTTGGGAACTAGGGCTAGAAAACCAGACTGGACCCCTGAGGAGTCCTTAGGCTGCAAGATGCAGAACTTTGTTATCTTAGGGCAGCTTCTCTTCTGGTCTGAAGATGCCTGCGCTAGCAGTTAGGGCTACATACTATTTGCTAGCACAGTAGAAAAGCTAGACCTTCTCAACCACACAAGTCCTTCTTTCAGCCCAGTTATACTTCCTCACCCCTGGGCAGTAGTAACACAAAGAGGCTACCAATGCTGAGCAGGGATAGGACCAGCTTTCCTGGAAGAACTGAGTGGGAGGCATGAATGCCTGGCTAGATATGTGGCTCAACTAGGAAGCAGGGAGGGTGGGAACCCCTGTTGGTTGCTATAGTAAGGGATTAGGCAGGTTTGGATTTTTTTTTTTTGTACCAGGAATCAAACTCATGACCTCACATTTGCCAGGCAGATGCTGTGCCACTGAGCTATTTCCCTGGTCCTGATTGGGCAGTGTGAAGGAAAAGCATAGTGATTGATTGAAGTGGAGATGAAGGATAAAAAAGCGTGAAAGATAAAACAGAGCCCAGGAAGATATTATCCCAGCATGCGGAACTGAGCGGAGAGGGATGCAGGAATTTATTTCAGGCATTCACTGTTTAATAGTTTGAGTTTGATGTGACTGAGAGACATCCCATCCATTTTATTTTGCAACAACTAAAGATGTGTCTTAGAGCTTGGGCTCGAGGTCATACAGGATGGAGCCCAGGATCAAGGCATGGAATTGAAGACATGGCCACTGGTCAGTGACCCCAGGAGTGTGTGGGGTAGAGTCTGGGAAGGTGAGGCTGGAGGAATTCTGAAAGCAGGGCTCTTCTCAGCAGAGCTGCCTGTGGAACAGGATCTCTGTTTGCCTGGATCTGTGTCCATATACACAGTGATGGTACAGAGATGCTCGCTGTGTCACTGAAGACATTGGAAGCCACTTAAATATTCATACCTATGGAGCTAGTTAAATTAATCAACATGCACCTGGTATATGGAATCCCAAGCTGCAGTGCAAATGGGGTTGCAATAGGAAAACTCAGCTGCCTTGTGAAGTAAAAAAAAGCAAAGGGCAGGTGGATAAGAGCACAGTACGCTCCTGTTTGTGCAATGAGGCAACATGTGGTAGCCAAATGTTTGTTTGTGCACCCATAGACTATTTCTGGAAGGCATTCAAAAAACTCTCCATGTCTTTTCTGGGAGCCTGTGAACCTCACTCTTTCTTTCTAACCCTGCTAGTTGCTAGAATCCTCCAGCCATGTGCATTTTTTTCCCCGGAACCAGGGATTGAAATCAGGCCCTTGCACTTGCCAGGGAAGTGCTTATTCCACTGAGCCATCTCCCTGGCCCCTAGCCATGTGCATTTATCTGTGACAGTTTGGACCTTAAAAATAAATATGAAAAACAGGAGATTGGGTACCAGAAAGGTATCTGAGGCTGGTTACAGAGATGATGCATGGGAGGTGTTGGGAGTCTGGAGTCACTGGAGTAGGGGCTCCAGGGAGATGGTGACATGGACTGCTCAGAGTTGCAGAGAAGAGGTGGTGGAGGTGGCCAGCAGGGCTCTCGGGTTCCCACTGGAAATGCAGACATTGCTGAAGGTCCCTGGTGAGCTCTGCACAGAAAGTTCCGCACAAGTCTGCTTCATTTTGCACTGGGCCCCCTTTCTTTAGCCCATAGGGCTGTAAGGAGGCCTAAACTTGCATTGGATTTTCCATTCCTAGGACAAAAACTCAACACCCACAGCTGGAGGCACAGAGGTCTAATTCAGCTCACTGTGTCAGGGGTTCAGCTCAGGTCAGCTGACTCCAAGGTGGCAGAATGGTGTGGCATCGGGGAATAGGGCTGTAAGACAGCCAGAGAGCAAGGGGCCTAGACTGTATGGAGTACCCCAGGTCACCCTGTCACAGCCACTCACATACCCAGGAGCATGCTCACTAATCAGTCCCCTGGACATGTTTCATCCTGTCGAGCTGCCATCACAATGAACAGTCACAATCCTTGTCAACTTGACAACCAGACACATCTCCACATCTCCTTAAACCATACTTAATCTCTAAATAAAGACAATAACAAATTCATAATTAACACAATGTGGCTACCCTGCACCATCCCCTCTTTAAGTCTCAATAGTTCCAGCATCCTTCAAGTTTGAGTCAAAGTCTCTTCTGGACCTGAAGACAAACTGTTATCTATGAACCTTTTTTAAAAATAAAAAAACAAGTTATACATCCCTAAAGTACAATGGCACAGAGTAACCACTCCCATTCCAAAGGGAATAGAGAATAGAAAGCACAGGACCAAAGCAAGACTGAAACACATCGGCTCTCATGAGACACTAGATCACTTTTCTTGAACTGTGTCCCCAGGTATCCCCACTCTCCTGAGATGTTAATAAATATGGAACAAGGAGTGCATACTCTGGTCTACCAGTTTAGGAGACAGAATTGAAGAAGGATTCTGTGGGGCTTTCTAGAATTCTTCACATGTTAATGTCTCTGGGCCACAAGAGCAAGGGAGGGATGTGCGCGATTCCTCCAAATCTGTCACTAGGAAATCGCTTTTGCAAGGAGCCTCTTCATGGGATGCAAGCTGAAGAATTCAGAGCCAAGTCAGTGACACTTATGTTGGTTTCTGCACCCCTGCCTACCCCATTCCAGAAAGTCTTGCCCTTACTGTGCTAAAAACAGACTGGTAGAAGCAGCCGGCAAACTTTTCTCCCCCTGATATTTTGGAAACTTTTCACTGACACCTAATGCTTGCACACGATCGTGGGGGGCAGCAGGATGATTCTGCAAGGATGTGCTATGTAATGATGAAGTCAAAATAGCTAGCACTCCAGCTCCCCTGGTGTTGGTCATTTACGGAAGTGTTGACATTCATTCCTTCATCTTCCAGAGCAAGGAGATCGGCCTGCAGATGCACGAGGAGCTCCTGAAGGTGACCAACGAGCTGTACACAGTAAGTTCTGCAGTTGCCTGGGCCCGGGCCGCCTGTTGTCAGCACCCAGTGTGGACGGGGTGCAGCAGTGGCCTGGGGTGAGCCCGGTCTTTGTGTTTCATGCTGGAGTGACAGTGGGTTGCCATTTTGAGACGGACCAATGCAAAGCCCCAGCTTTGGATTCTTTGCACCTGCTTCTGGTCCCAGCTCGACCCTAGCTTTGTTTCTAGAATGACATTCAGGCACAACCCTACAACTTCAACCTATCATCAGACCCTCTGTCCCTTAATATTTTTCTCTGAATTGACCACATCACATCCCCCTTCTAAAATTCCTTCCAATCTTCTTCAGTCAGAGGGAAAGCAGCCTTGTGTAGGAAAGAACACCAGTCTAGAGGTAGTTGGGCCTGGCTTCATGGCCCTGCCAGGCAAACCTGAATCCAGGCTTCCCTCCCCCTGTGGGAAAGCCCCACAGAATCCTTCTTTAATTCTGTCTCCTAAACTGGTAGGCCAGGAGCACAGCAATTTCCTGACTGATCTGTGTGGACCATGCCGTGGAAAGATGGCTGCAGGGGACCACCCAGGGCTGGGCAAACACTCCCGCTATGCCATCATGTCTCAGGAAAGAAGAGAGCATCCATATTTTTCCTGCATTGTTTCAACTCTTTCTTTTCTCCATCCTCCTCTGCCTCTGGGCCAGCCCCAAGCCGTAAGAAGGTTCTGTCTGTCTGAAGAAGTGCCACCACCCCTCGGCCCCCACCCTCCAGGCCTGCTCTCTGCACTGCATCTCCAGATTTGGCTAGAAGACTTTCTTCTTACACGGTGGCTTCCTGAACCGGAAGGTGGAGTGCTGGAGATAGGAAGGGGCAGAGATGGATGAGAGAAAGGAGAGGGGCAAAGGAGTTAGGAAGGAGGGAGATGTGTCATCTGTGTGCACCAGCTACCCCAAATGAACATCACCATTCTGTAACACAAGCATGCACTAATAAAATATTGGTTTCCTTTTAACAGTTAGAGTAGATTATACTTGCACTTTATAGAGCAACAACAAAATGGGCAATAATTAAACAGCACAAGAAGATGCAAAACAAGAAGTGTGTCTTCCACTGCCCTATGTCTCCCCTCTCCCCATGGTTATGAGGTCAACAGTGCATAGGCTGTGGCATCTCCTTCCAGGGGTGTTTGATTCACCTGTGAGCACACAGGTAGAGCAGACCCGCCAATCCATTCCACACACAGGGAGTCCTTGTCCGCCTGTGCTGGCTCTTCCTCAGAGCTGTGTCTCAGCCACCTCCTCTCTCAAGTGTGCCTGTCTCAGACTGTGTGCTGCTGTGGATGCTTCGGCAGGCTGATGCCCTTCATCCCTACTACAACCCTTCCCGGAGGGGCCATTGTTACCACCTTATTTGGGGATAGCACAGAGAGGCGAGATAGCACCCCCAGGGCCACCCTGATGGAGAGTGGCTGAGGCTAGGCCAGACTCCACGTGCTGAAGCGTTCCTCAGAGCTACTTAAATAATAGTGAATCTATTTATAGAAATGTATGTGCCCTGCAGTTGTCTCTTGGTGTGCACAAAGGATTGGTCCCAGGCCCTCCTGCAGACACCAAAGCTTGCAGATGTTCAAGTCCCTTATATAAAGTGGTGTATTATTTGCACAGAACCTCTGCACGTTCTCCCATATTCCTGAACTCATCTCTAGGTGACTTGTAACTAATGTGAATGCTGCATCACTCACTGTTATGTATAGTGCAGTGCAGCTTTTGTCCCAAATGTTTTCTACCTGTGGTTGTTTGAAATCTGAGGCTTCAAGCCCACAGATGCTTAAGGCCTGTGTTATCCCCTATATTTATTGGGGGAGGAGGTGGTGCTTTCTGTGGGCAAATAAAAGACTGCATGGAGTCAGCAGAAGGGCTATGGAGTGTGGGGAGCTCAGGCAGCGTGGCCTACACTCGCTGGGGCTGTGGTGCAAGGCTCAGCAGCACCACACTGAGTCTTCCCTCCTGATGCGCCAAAAGCATAGAGGGGGGTTAATGACACGTAGGTGACACTGATAGTCATCTTGCTCACACAAGTAATTTCCTCCTCCTGCCTTGTGCAGCCCCAGCTCAGACAAGTTCACTGGAGTGAAGATGCCGACCTGGAGGGGCTTCAAGGCCCCTGTGAGTGTCTGTCTCTGCCATCCTGCCCAGCAGGAGGCTCAAGCCAGAGCAGCTTTGCAGGACTGTCACATACTTCCCAGATATTTGTGCAGGGTCCCCAGAAGGACCAGGGGTGGGAGTCTTGTTCCAAGCATTTTCCTCACCTCCCCAGCTCTCCCGCAGAGACACTGGAGCACTCAGAGTATTTTTCTTGATCACTGGCAGTGTCTAGACAGTGAGAGGTAGCTACACATGGTGACGGTGAGGCACAGTGTGGGGAACATGGGAGGTGGGGTGGGGTGATGGCATCTGCTAGGCATCAGGGAGGTGACTGAGGAGAAAGGGCACCCAGGATGCCAAGGCAGGGAAGCGGCAGCCTCCAGAGCCTGGGATGCAGGGACTTCTTCCTATTCTGCCCACCGACCCTGTTCACCATCAGCCCTGAGCCTGGCTGGTTGGGACTAGGGCTGATTTGGGTGGATGCGGTAGATGGGAAGGAGGCCTGACTTTTAGGGTTCATCCAGGGGTGAAGGATGGAAATCAGGGCAAGCTGGCTGTTCTTAGTCTGTTTTCTGCTGCTGTAACTGAACACTGGAGACTGAGTAATTTATAAAGAAGAGAGATTTTAAGGGCCAGCCTGGGGCCGGGGAAATGACTTGGTAGAATAAGCGCTTCCCTGGCAAGCGCAGAGAGCTCAGCAGACTAAAGTGCCTGCTTAGGCAGAGCGCAGTGGCCAGGATTTGATCCCTGGCATGCCATGCTGGCCCTGCCCCTGGGGTGTGCTGAGACAGGGATTGAGACTGGGTGTGGTGCCCCTGTAATCCCAGTGCTTGGGAGGCTGGAAACAAGAGAATCACTATGAGTCTGATCTACATAGTGAGACCCTGTAGACCCTGTACTAAATACATTGGAAAAAAAGAATAGAGATTTTATTGGCTATGGTTCTGGAGTCTGAAGAGTCCAAGAGGATGGTGCCAGGACCTGGTGAAGGCCTTCATGCTGTGTCACCCACAAGAAGGGTAAGAAGGGCAGTGGGAACCAGGCGTGCCTTTGTAACAAACCTACCCTTACAGAATCTACTCCGCTTCTGCAGTTAAGAACATTAACTACCTTTCGAGGCTGATGTCCTGAGGAATAATTTCCTGATACCTGAACCTGGGGGAGGAGGGATCACTTTCAAATGACAGCCCTGGTTATATAAAAGTTATGGGGTTACAGGGTCCCACAGGAAATCAGGCATGACTGGGTCTGAGGCTCCCACCCTTTTCTCACTCTGAAAGCACAGAGACGCTTTCTGTCTTCTATACCATAGTATGTGAAGCATGCCTTGTGTGTCACCTGATGTGTAATGTGCAGCTCAATAAATACTTAATAATTGAATATATAGCTGTCCTTTACCCCTCTGATGTACTCATTGGCTCTAAGGCAATAGAAACTGCACTTGCTCCATTTGATTCCATTCTTTCCTCCCTTCCCCCTTTTCTCTCTTCATTCCATCCATCCATCCATCCATCCATCCATCCATCCATCCATCCATCTTTCTTTTTAAAAAAAAATGTATTTGGTTGTTGCAGGGTCTCACTATGCAGCTCAAACTCATGGCAATTCTCCTGCTTTCAGCCTCCCCAGCTCTGGGATTATAAGCCACTACACCAGGACTCCAGCTGGCTCAGCCCGCCCTGAGGGTGGTGCTGGCACAGCAATGTGGTGCTGGGGGTTGAACCGCTTTCCCTGCACTTGCCTAAGCTTACCTAAGCAGGCGCTTTAGTTTGTTGAGCTATCTGGCTGGTTCCATCCATCTTTCTTTCCACACCAGTCTCTAGCTCTTTTTGGTTTTATTTTCTTCATGATCTTCAGGCTTCTCCTATATGGTAACAAAGATGACCCCAGCCCTGAAAGCTCACCTCCTCCAAAGAGAAACCTCTTTCTACCCCATGGAGAGAGAACCTTCACTTCCTGGTATTTCCAGCATAGTGCCGAGGCAGTCTCTGATGGGCCTGGATGAATGATGAGTCCCAATCATTATGGCCAGGTTAGCATCATGTTTACTGATTGGATAAACATTAGACCTGGGACTCATGGTCATCCCAGGACTGGAGAGTGAGGTCACTTTCCCATGAACTATATGAACTGAGAATAGCTGGAGGGAAATTTTTGGGATTTCCTCAAAGAAAATCAGGAAATTATTCCTGGAGAAGGACTAGGTGGTTCTGGGCAGAGAAAAACAGCCAATGTCCGTAGAAGGGGTGGAGAGGAGAGGACAAAGCAGTGCCTCTGGCAGCTGGTGCTCTAACACACACCTGCTGTTCTTTTTTTTACCTGTAAGTTGCTCCTCCAAAATTTTGGCTCCTGCTGCCCCTGGATTTAACACTCACACTGCTCCCTTCATCTGAGCTGCTTTGCCATACCCCAAGTCCTGTTCATGCAGCTCTTCTTTCATGGTTCAGCTTAATTGTCACTTCCTGCAGGAAGCCTTCCGATACTACCTTGTATGTCCCTCACTGTGGCTCTTAGCATACCATGTGATAATCATTTGTGTAACCATCTGTGTCCCCACCATAGTGTGATTCTAGGAGGACAGAGACCCATGAGTCTTTGACACTGTAGTATGTCCTGATGTAACCCTGGTACAGGAACTGGCTCACAATGAACTTCTCAACAAATATTTCACAACCGAAGATGCAGCTGTCATCCTCTGGCCAAATAGACTCACAGAACTGTACCTTCTCCATTCTCTCCTCTCTGTCTCTTGTCCTTTCTCCCTTCATTCACTCAGTGTAGTCCTCTAGAAAATCCAAATTTATGGAAAATATCTGTGTAATTGTGCAAAGGGATTTGCTAGGTACCATGCAAGGTCAGGGGTATGAGCCTAATGCCTGCGC